GGTCATGGCCAGAAGAACCTCACTTCATGTCTAGATTAATACATGACAAAGGTAATTATGATGCTGATGCCATTGATGTCAATCGCCTCTCTGAGCCACAGAAGACGACTGTGCACTGGTTGTAGCAGTTAAACAATTCATGCAACTCCCACAGGAGAAAGAAACCAAATTTTATGTTTGCAGCTACATTTAAGTCAAATGGACTTCTCTCAAAGTCTCACTTGTGGCCAGTCAACAGCATGTTCATATAGAGAAAATGGTTAGTCAATAATTACAGAGCATTTATTGTCAGCACACACCAGAGCCACATCAGTTACCATTCTTTATGGTGGTGAATGACCCTTAAAGATTGACTTGAGACGATTAAACGGCATTTGGGACTTGGTAATTTTGTGCTCCAGGAAATAAATATCCCAAAGTGATGTGGGGTGGAGTTACCTGCAGTACAGGAGGTCTCTGCAGTGTGGTGGTGGCTGTCACAGTGGTCTGGACTGTGGAACCTTGCTTAATGATGGTGGTGGGGGTAACTGGGCGAGCCAGCAGTGATGCACCTGGAGCCTGCAGAACAGCAAAGGAGAGTAATGGAACAGATGATAATGTTGTACTTGATGTTTTCCTCTATGAAATGACAAAAAAATATATATGTATTTTAAAATATTCCTGTAAACTTATCGAATTTCACAGTCTATATGCTGCTTTTAATTGCCCTTCGAATGCAAAAAGAAAGAAAAGTACTTCTTTGTCCAACAGCAACTTTCCATTTTGGCAGTTTCCTTCGTTTTCTTCACTTATATTCAAGTCGGGTGCAAGACTAACGCCACAAAAGCTAAATAAAATCAGCACACTGGTTTCATTAATGTCTTTGATTGATCGTTTATAATGCAGAGGCAGAGTGTGCATGTGAAACCAGACAGCAGAGTAACTTGTGCTACATTATAAAATCTGTTAACTAGGGTTTCGCTTTAATATTTATCCTTAAAACAAAATTCTTTGTTTGATTTTCAATGAGACAGTAAAAGAGTATATATTTGTGTCTAAGTGCACTGATGACACTGAAAACTTCACAGAGTGGTTGCTGAAAATGTGTTCAATATGGTGACTGTATACAGTGTTGCTGTGATGGGATGACCAAACGATGCACAGCAAAGCCCTGGTATTATGAATGCACCAGTAGCACTTTCTCTCCCAATATGCTGATGCCTAAACTCAGGGTATCAGCTGGTATCAAGAACTGAGCCAAAGTGAGTGCTTTTCTCAGTTCAAAATCTGCATACTTTACAGTTCAGCACTGACTGACACCATTCTTCTGTGTGCACTGCGGTTTTAACTACACTTTACTTCTTTGCAATAAGTGAAGATGTTCATTCAAAAACATTCTTTAAACGTATGTTAATCTTATTTGTTTTTGTGAGTTTACAGAATTGTTCTGTGACAGCAAAGTAACAACATTGACACTAATCAGTGTTTCAAGTACATCTAGCTGCGAGCAAAGCTACCAAATTAGCTGAGTATCCATGTAAATTCTGATCCAGTACTGTATGTCACATTTGTGCACCACTACATCACATTAATGAGTCACTTTTTCTGTGTCTGACTGTGCGCATGTGTCCAGCAGGCTTGTACCTGTAGAGAAGTGATCTGGACAGGTGGAGTGTTGGTGGGGGCTGCAGGTCTTGATGCCATGGTGCTTTGTGACTGGGACTGAGCCTGCATCTGAGCCAAAGTCTGCTGGTGAATCATCAGCAGCTGCCCACTCTCACTGCGAACCAAGACCATGCCTGCATGTGACAAAAGACCAGGGGGTTAGGATGTCAAAGGTCACTGCTTTTCTGCCCTGATCGGTCGTAACATAACATTCTGTGCATGCAACTATGGATTTTCATGAAGGGGTATGAAACACTCACCTGTATTACGAGTGAGGCCATTGACAGGGAGAGCTACAGATCTCCAACCAGTCAGTGACCAGTCAGACCAAAATGAGCCACAAACATGGCACTAAAATCAAAAGCATTTTCAAGCCACAGCAAATCATGTAATTAGATGATGTAAGAATTCTTAACACAGCATTGTTCAAAGTCAATTTTCTTTCTTGTCAATGCAACTTTATTGTGGGCAAGTGTATTAATACACACTGGAGCCTAGTATTACAGTCAGGCCATTCTAAATCAAACAGGTGACCGCTTGTGTGATAGGTGGCTGGACTAATACATAATAATACACTGGCCTGCAACAAAGCAGCACAAGTTACAGAGAGGCTGCAAAGGAAAATTAAGCAGTAAAGAGAAGAATATGAGCAGCAAATGGACACACTATTAAATGTTGTGGTTAAAATGCTGTTTTATCACTCTGTTTGTTGTGGCTTATGTTGGTCTGACCACTGGACAGGATAAATCTAAACACAGCCGCCCTAACATTGACTCATTTCTCCTTATTGATGAAACTACACCTGAGCCATTCGTACTGTCACATAAGATCTGGATTCATCCCTTACATACCCCAAGGGTAAAATCAATGTCTGCCAGTTTTTAAGCAGAAGCTGAAACTTTGAGACGAACAATCTAACTCTCTTTAAACTAGGAAACACCCACACTGGATACTGAAGAAATACAGAGTAAAAAGCTGTTGATATGAGAACAGAGTGTAATTGTTTCAGACAACAAAAAGTAATAAGAATCAATAGATTGCAACAGAATGCTACTTTAATACAATATGGGAGGAATAAATTGGCCCAATGACCTGAAGGCTTTCAATCTGTTCTGCGGTTAAAATCTTGTCCACCACTAATCTGTTGTTTGTGGCCTCAAAAACAATCAATTCTACGTCTTCTCTGCTTACAAGAATGCATCTCTTGCCTCTTAAGAAAAGTCTATAAATAAAGCTAAAGTGCATTTGTGTTTGACAGCAACCAGGCTGACAACTTGTCGCAGCTTAACACAGGCTAAAAGAGACCTTGTTTCACATGTAACATGTCACAGAAAACTTCCAGATGCTCTTAAACTTTAAATTACCTGCAGGGAGTTGAATGTTTTGGATGTTTGTGGCGTTTTGTTGAGGCTGAGCGAGTCGAGGAGCCAACACCTGTGGAGCAATAGCTCGTATTCCACCGGGAGGAGTGGCAGCGATCGTTGACGGTACTGAAGTCCTCAAGTTTTGCAAAACAGTCGGACTCCTCACGGTCGCTGTTGTCCCTGTCGCAACAGGTGAGGCCACGACGTGGACACCGGCCGTGCTGGTGACACTGACGGCTGGTGATGTTAAAACTGTGGATGGAATACCTGCGCTTTGTAAAGTGTTCGTGGGAGTTTGCATAGGTGGCCTCACAAGCGTGACTGTGGGTACAGTTTTCACAGCGGGCTGAGACGAAATCACAGACGAAGTCACAGCATTTTGCGCATTTAAAGTAGTTCGAATAATAGTACTCGGCGTCGCGGACAGAACCGCTGCGCCTCCTTTGCTCACAGAAACAGGTCCGTTGTTGACAAGCGTGACAGCGGGCTGAGCGTTGTTGCCGTCTGCAGGTCCAACTCTGGGGATATGACAGTTCATCACCACGGCACTTCCATTCAAAGTTTGAACACCAGTCGCTCCAGGTTTCCCAACAGCAGATGTCGCATCTGGTACCACCGTAACAACTCCGCCAGCTGCCCCCGGCTTTGCCTGACTCTGAGCGGCTGTCACAGTCGGTGCTGCCGCCGGTGTGATCCCGGTTGCCCCATCCATGCTTGAACCGTGGGACCCCGCGCTGTTACTGACACCTCATTGCACTCCTCTCCGTACGGCAGCGGAAACACATGAAAACAAGTGGGGTGTCGAGCAACTCTCCGACTCGCAACAGTTTCGGGAGACACACAAGTAAAGCGAAGTGAGCTACAATCAGTTGAACAACGTGACCAAAATTAGCTAATGTTAGCTAACCGGAGTGCGCAGCTATCTGCTTTAGCAAGCTCTTGTTGTGAAAGTCCCATTTTGTTGCCTTGAATACTGAAATTACTACCTACAGCTGAGTTGCCGACGTGATTTGCTGCAGACTGGACCCTAGCCGTTGTGTTACAGTCACCTGCTGCTGTTAGATCACACTCCAGGGATCCGACTAGAGCACTAACTACTTTTTCGTCCACCTCTGTGTTGAAGAAAACATCATCCAGCAAATCGGAGCCCGCCGCCATCTTTGCCCAGCTACGCTCGTTCGTGAGACGCATGCGCCGATTGGATGCATTCTCCGTGACGCGGCCTCATCCGGCGCTCTGATTGGCTCCTCGGAGAAAATAAAGCTTGGAACAAATGGTAGAGAGCTGCAGTGTACAGTGCCAGCTCCGTCTGACCGATCTGCTGGAAAAGAACAACAGAGCTGTAGCTAGAGGGACCTTAGCACGTCAAGGAAACTCTCCGAACGTTTCTGCTCTATACACGTCCCCCACAGATTCCTTCCACAGTATCCAGTCGTTTTATATGCATTTGACTTTATCGTACACTCTGAGCGTCTCAAAATGGCTGCGTTGATGCTATTTTTCCAGCAGACCTGCAGCAGCCGCCTCACTGCTCACAGACAGAAGTGATGTTAAGCTGGTTGTCAAAACTCCTGAAAGTGCAGATCAACGATTAGGCTGTCAGTATGCGAAGTTGTTCCTGCAACAGGCTCCTGGAGGCTACAAAATAATAGTGCTTTTACCAACTTCTTAGAAAATTCTGAGAAATGTTCTCCATATAATTGCACATAACTAAACATATCATACACTGTCAAAATGAAGAATAAAAATAGAATAGAATGCAAAATATTAGCAATCATTGGCCACAAAGTGTCAAGTCCAGCAGTTCCAGGGACTGACAGTGATTTGCTGTCCTCTCATCGCCAGGTGAGTTGAGCCTCAATCAGTGGGCGTGGCTTCAAGTCACCTGTGGACGCCAATAAATTGTTCCGGGTTCCTCCATGACCTTAATGGTGCCACGTGATGTGAGTTTTTGTGGAAATTTATAGCAACCGTCCTGAACATTCTCCAGCCATGACTTCTACAAAGCTGTACATTGGTTGCAAGATATGGTTAATTTCAAAAGCCCAAAATCGTTATGAGGGGAATTTGTATACAATTGATAAAATGAACTCCACAGTAGTGCTTGCTAAAGGTGAGTGGTGCAGACCTGTTCTTCATAGCCTGGAAGCATGTCCAAAAAAAAAAAAAACATTTTCTTCTTACCAGTCAAGTGTTTTGGAACGGAGGGTCGACCCACTGACAGACCAACACCAGCCAGGGACGATGTCTATGATTACATCACTTTCCGAGGAAGTGATATTAAGGATATCTGCCTGTGTGAACCTCAGAGATCTCACCACGGCCTTCCCCCAGATCCTGCAATTGTACAGGTAAACGACAACCCGTAGCAAAGTATGTGAAGACCCAGATGATGTGTGTTAAATTGCTTTAACAACTCATTCTTCAGTCATCCAGTGGAAGCTCGTCAGGCATCTACTCGGCTCCTGGACAGCTTAGCCCCTTAACTATGCCCGCTTACAACCAACTCGCTGCCGGCTCGCTGCTTAATTCACAGTACGCTGCAGCTCTTGGCTTTGGTAAATCAATGAGCATGAACTTATTTCGAGTAAGAGTTACACTGCTATACTGTTGAATGGGTTGTTTTCACGCTGCAGTGTTTGGTTTTGCTCTTCATGCAGGGCCTGTGCTTCCAGGCTTGCATGTTCTAAGGGGCCCCATGGTGGAAAAGGCTGTTCAAACCCTCCATGTGGACAGATCGAGGCAGAGGAGAGGTGTGACTGCGTTCCGGACGCAGGAGCAGCAGTGGGACAGGGGGAGGCCCCAAAGGACCAGCGGAGGGAGTTCTCAGATCAGAAGAGGCACTGGAGCCACCAGTAAGCATGTAGAGTTGCATTGATAAAAGGCAATAAAATACTATGTCCCACTAACTGAAATAAAAGTGAAGAGCTTGAATCATTTAATAGTCTCGAAGTGTTTTCCAACACTGTATGGTGGTGGTGGGGGGTTCGGGGGATAGTACATGTCTGTCTGTGCAGTTGTGAGCAGTTAAAAGTGAGTTTAGATGCTGTTCTTGATTTGAAGTCAAGTTGGGCCCAGGTGTGACCACTTCTCAGCGGCAACCTTGGCAGCAGAATTGTGAAAACAGGCCAGCACCCAGAAGAAAACAAGGTAATTATTAAACATACAAAAAAAAAAAAAACAGAATTTTTGGCCTATAACTAAAGTTGTAACATGAAGTGCTTTTGTAACTTTAGGAGCTCGGAGATGCTGGAATCGTAGCAGAGGGCAGCTGATGGTGGATAACGGTCCATCACCCATCCTCAAGTTTGACACCGACTTTGATTTTGATTCCTCAAATGCACAGTTTAATAAGGAGGAGCTCGAGAGGGAGGTGCAGGACAGGGTGAAAGGTTGGTTAACCAGCTAAAGGGGCCACAAACGCACTGTGTTTTTCATCTGCTCATTTGATATATTCTTGTTGAAGGAAGGTCAGCTCTAAAGTTCCCCTACATTTAGGGCAGTAACAGAAAGACACATTCTGGAGCCATGACTTGGTTAACATGGCTGCACTTCTGATGGCGTTTCTCTTATTGTGTGTCACATTTTCACATTTGCATAGACCTCTTCAAAGATGAATCTCCATTTTGACACAGGTGCTTGCAGTTTGAACAGAATTCAACCTAAATTCAAGACCAGTCAAATGAGACTTTAAGCTATCTGCTAAAGGCTTTTTCACATCTGAAATAGTGAATCGGCCATTTAAGACACGGCTACGTTGCTTGTTGTTCCAATCTGTGTCCCGCCGCTGTAGTCACAGTACATGTTTCTGTTTGCAGATGGAAATTATGAGGTAGAAGAGAAAGAAAATGAGGGATTGCACTCTGCTGCAGAGGACGATCATTTTGGACCAAAATGCTACTACGACAAAGCAAAGTCTTTCTTTGACAACATCTCATCTGACAGCAGGTTCAGGTAATGGTGACAATTTTTTATCCTCATCATTTAAACAGTTTTTTCATTCTTTCTGTAATGTAGAGCTATATGCTTAAGGCTCTTTTTGTTATAGTTTCAGACTATCATGGGCAGAGGAGCGGAAGCGCAATCTGGAGACTTTTGGGGTCCCTGGAAGGTTCCTGAGGGGCCAAGGTTTCAGAGGAGGATACACTGGACGGAGAGGCCAAGGTGCAGCTCAGACTCTTGCTCCTCACAGAAACCGGGGTGGACAGCTGTAAAGGTTGACGTTTGATATCAAGGCACTAGTAATAATTTCAACCTCCAATGGTTGCTTCCCTGTTCTTATGGGACTGTTATCTATCACACTGATCAGCAGAAGTGGCTCTGCTGGTCCTGTATGAAATTATATTTTGTTTTTGTTTTTTCCTCCCAAGGGCACTTATCTTGCCCCCATTTTGTCAGGACTTTTTTAACCTCATTTTGAATAAGGTTAATAGATAGTGACAGGAAGAGTTTTGCTTTTTATTTTATTTTTTTCCTCCAAATGTGAAAATACTATTTAAGTTTCCACTTAAAGTTATTGTTTTGTTTTTGCTACATCACTCTAACATGTATTTTTCACGTAAACAAACTCTGGCTTTGCCACTTGAAAATGTTCATCTTATTATTTGTTCATTTATTTCGCAAGTTATTGCATACTCTAAATGTTAAAAATGAACTAAACATAAATGTATTTAAATTGTGTACATGGATTTACTTTGACATATTGAAGCAACAAGTGATCCTCATGTAAATAAACTGAATATTGCTGATGCATTTGTCACATGCTGTTTGAGGTTGCATCACATATTGTCATGGAGTCTGTGACAGCTTTATAGACTATCTTTAATCTGGGACAGTTATTGGTCTTAAGCTTTTTTTGTCTCTTTAATAATGAAGAATCTTTCAGATCTAAAGCATTATTGCAAATGTAAAATCCAAAATATATATGCTGTAATTTAATGCTTATGATTTTACAAGATATCTAATTTAATCAAACAGGGAAACTCTTTCAAAAAAAAAATTTTTTTTTAATCAATCCTTAATAAATATATCTGTAAAACTTTTTTTTTTTTTTTGCTCATCTAAACAGTAAGAAAAATGTTAAACACAAAAAATGGATTGCCATTTAAAAGAACTTTTTGATGTTTACAGTTTTGACCTATTTTTGACCTTTTTAAGGCTTAACATGCAAATGAATACTTTTTGAGATTTTGCTAGTGAACTATAATTTAACAACACAGGGGAAACTTGACAAAATAACATTTACCATCTTTATTCCTTAATATCTGTATTTATACTTAAAAAACAAAACAATAGTAAATATCTTACAGTATTTGACTGATTCAAATACTGTAAGAGTATTGTTGCATTGCAAAATAAATATCTTCAATAAAAAATTAAGGTTTTTGATGTGGACATCATTTACAGTTTGGCCTAGATAATTTGATTTAATATTTTTTTGTATATTTACTAGTTATATGTAACTAAAAACATGAACAATCAGTAAAATAGCGTTAAATTGTTAACAAAAAAAACCCACTTAGCCTCTTTAGACCTGAGCTCCTGTTTGATATGCATTGTTTATTTATTAAATAGCAAAGAAGAATAAAAAATATAAAGAAAATAAAAATCTATTTTAAAAAATATCATCATAATAAATAAAAACAAATTGTAAAAAAAAAAAAGATCTACTCTGGTAATATGGCCCAAAATCTGCTTATCATGCATGTGGACGTCAGGTCTTAAGAGGTTAAAACTGCTTTTTGTTTTTTTTCCCAGTGGAAGCGAACAATCAGCATAAATAAGTAACTGGCTTGTTATGAGAACTTCTCTTTAACGTATTTTAAGAGGAAGCTCAGCAGACGTCAGGGCCGTGGTGCTGCTTCAATAGATATGAACACTAATGTTTAAAAAAAATAAAAAATCCAGAAGAACTAAAATCAACTTTTGCAACAATTTCTTCCCACACTTGGAGGAGGAGCAGCGTGTCTCGCCTACGCAGACTGATTGGCTTTCATGAATCAAAGGATACCCTGTCTGGAGAGGGAAAGTGGTAGGCTACTCACTGTCTGGGCTGTACCAACAACCAAGGGAGAGGGATGCTCCCCTATCACGTAACGCTCCATTATCTGTGCCTTTATTTCCACGCAGACCATAAATAACACTTTCATCAAAACCCCGTGTTTAATTCCATTCACACCAATCACGTGTTTTCTATTTCCCCTTCCTCCACGACAGATATGTGGGCTCGTCAATACCCCTATTTCCTGGTAATGGAGAAACTATGTAACCAAATAGAGGGCTGCGCTCAAGATAATAAATATTAGAATAAAAGAAGCGCTTTTATTTCCCATATGACAAAATGTCGGTGGCGTTTTCATCGGTGCGCCCCAGGAGTAAAGGGGAGGTGACACAGCAGACAATTCAAAAGGTAAAAAAAAAAAAAAAAGAAGAAGAAGAAGAAAAGAAAAATGTTGAAGCGTCGCGGCGTTTGTGTTTAAATCTTCCAGTGTGGATGATGGAGTGTGTGATGCTCCTCCAGTACAGGGAAAGTAGCCTGTGGTGAATATCAAAGAAATGGCAACTGGTATTGTAACGTTACAGTCAAGTGAAGGTGCGAACCAAACAAAGCCATGATGCAGGCGATCGCTTTATTACCTCAACTCTGGCTGGGTCCCTGCTTTCTTATGATGCTGTCAGACTCGTTGATTCCTCCACAATCATTTATATATTTTTTTTCTTTAATGGGAAATTAGTATCAGCTTTACAATTTGCGACTTTGTTTGTAAGGATTTTATAGCATCAGCGTGGTTTAAATGGTTATAGGTGCATGATTCTTGGCAGACTTGTGTTTAATTGCTTATTATGTAGCCCTACACCTGCTTTCTTGAAGAAGAGGAAATATATAGGCTACGATTAGAAAGACAGGAAAAGGTAGGATGGAGGTAAAAGAGCAACAGAGGACAATCCTGAGCTCTATATGTTGTTGCTGTTATCCTTGACTGAACCGGATTGTTTCTTGTTAAAAGGCACAACCCATCCTTAAAACAGAGACTTTCAAACGATGTCCTAAATAACGGCTAAGAAGAGCTGCATCTTTATTTGGTTCCATTATTTAAAAAAAAAAAAAAAAAAAATGACCCAGAAAGAACAGAAAAAAACCTTGTTTGGTTGAAGTTCTGAGAATCCAGGACAGCAATGAGGAAGATGTACTGCACTGTAATGAGAGATATTATGAGCTGAAGTTGTTTTTATTGTCTCCCAAAGATGCTGGATGAAAATCATCATTTAATACAATGCATAATGGATTACCAAAGTAAAGGCAAGACAGCTGAATGCACACAGTAAGTGTTCTCTTCCGTAGCAGAGCCTTGTAAACATCATGGCAAGAGTAAAGCTGTGCTAAATGGTTCTCTTTTTGACAGGTATCAGCAGGTCCTGCACAGAAATCTTGTTTACTTGGCCACAATAGCTGATTCAAATCAGAACATGCAGTCACTACTACCTGCGGTGAGTCTGATTTGTGATTCAGGATCATGTAACACAGTAGACTCGTCCACTTATCAGACTAGATCAAATATCCGAAATGTCTGGACAGTGCACCATAGAAATTAGATGCACACAGAGTGTGAAAAAATCTGAAAATGCTGTAATCAGTTATGGCTGCTGTTTAAATGAATTAATATGTCTCTTCACTTTTAGCCTCCTACTCCAAATATGTCTATGGGTCCTGGAGGGATGGGCCAGAGTGGGGGACACGCTCCAAGCAACCTCAATGACAACATGGCACCAGGATTGCCCCCTACGTCAATGATGCAGAGCCAAATGAGCAATGGTGAGAGTACAGATCCTCTCCTCTGGTCCACGTGAACAATATTTCCACACAACAGCTCCATTTTTGTTGTCCGTCCCCTGTCATGCGTGCTTGTCCGATCCCTACTTTGATGCATGTTGGTCTGCAGATACAATGCCACAGTGCCTCTCTTCTGTACTGCATCACTGCTTGCAAGTATCAGCGGTTTTGTGTTCAGCTAATAGATAGTCAAATTTGTTAGAATGACTTTTGCTTTCCCCGTTTTCCTATTTCATTTCCACACACATCTTTAACATTCGTTACTCTATCCTCGTGCAACCACGCAAGCTTCCTGTAAAGATGAACTGAATGTGGAACCATTACTAACGTGATGTGGCCCCCTACATGGGAATCGTGTACTGGACGCTCTGACTGTGCTCGTGTGTCGTCAGGCCCCAGCCACGCTCCCATGCAGCAGCAGTCTGGTCAGGTGCAGTCGGCTATCCCCTCCGCATCCCTCAGCCTCCCGGCTAGCAGCTATGGTAGCTCGGTGTCTGGCTACAGCCACGCTGCGCCCTCCTCCCAGGCCAGCATCATCCAGGGCTCTGGGCCTGGTTATGGCTCTTCCTCCTCTTCTTCCTCCACGCCCTCATCCTCTTCCTCCTCCTCCTCCTCCTCCTCCCGCAGCAACCTCAACATGCAGTCCAACCAAGGTGAGCCAGGTGGAGCCCAATTATCAGGAATTGGTCTACTGGATCACTTCTGAGCTTATGAATGGAACACACCAGGACCCTTACTCTCTATATATAGACATATTCTTTGCACAATGATTTATTCATTTCTCTTTTTACATTGAAGCATATTGCAAGATTTGACACTTAAAGGAATGGTCTAATGACAGTAATACCTTTCAAGTGTATTGTGAAATATAGGGTTAAATAACTTTTGAATCACCTGAGTGTTTTCATGACAAACACCCCTGATCTCTCTTAAAACATTTGCTTGTGTGTATATCTACAGTGGCCGACTGGGACAAATGACGTGCATATAAACAAACCAGCTGCATATACATGAATGCATCGCATAAACAGAAATGCGCTGCAAAAGGAAAATGCTGCAAACACGGAAAACGCGCTGCAGAAGGACCACGCTCCATATACAGATGCGCTGCATAAATGAAAACAAATGCAAAAAGAAAACACTGCATATCCAGTCACACAACGGAAGTACCACAGACCTCTAGGGGCAGTAGTGAGCTTTTCACCTGAGAGGCTGTCAACGGTGAGCGAGAAAAGTAATGTTAGTTGAGGCTGTAAGAAAAGATATATATTCTCTCGTCTCCATGGATCAACATAAACAACAGAGAGAACACAGGGAAGCGCCACTTTAGCACCCATATAATCACAGTGACTGAAAAGATAAAAACTGCCCCTCGAGGCCTGTGGCACTTCTGTTGTGTGACTGGATATGCAGCGTTTTCTTTAGCAGTATGTATCTGTATATGCAACGCATTCATGTATATGCAGCTCATTTGTGTATATGCATTTGCCCCCGTCGGCCACCGTATGTATCTGCAGTCTTAAAATTCCAAGCAACCATCATACTACCAAACACATTCAGTTCATCAGAGAGGTGTCCTTCCTCCTCCTCCTCCTTCTTTCCCTTTTGCTCCAGGTTTAACTTTTCCTAATCTCTGACCCCTGACCCTGAGATGCAGCCCTTCTTTCCCTGGATGTCCATGTGTATTTACTGTACCTCTGTTTATGCACTGACTTCACTGGCTTTGTTTGCATTTATACTTGAGAGCAGCATCTTGAAAGCATCTCTTAAAAGAGATTTTTCTTTAAGAGACCTCTGACTGCTACGGACCTCGTTTTTGGCTTTTCCCCTGTGTCCTGATCGCCACAGACCTCCTTTCTACGTTTGTTTATTTGCTTAGTTCTGCACATTTCTGCCAGTCTCAGCTCTGAGAATGCGACGTATACGGTTGAATGTGGATTGAATTTTTATCTTTTGAGAGTAACGTGTGAGACTTCTCCCCCAATAATCCCACCTCCTCCCTAGTCTCCATGATGCACCAACAATCCACTCCACACTACTCCTCAGCCCAGGCTGGGGGCCCACACTATCAGGGACAGCAGGCCATGAGCATGATGGGTCAGGGAGGTCAAGGAAACAACATGATGACTCAGAGGCCCATGGGATCCTACCGCTCTTCCCAGCAAGGTAGGTGGTAAGACTTCTTTGTGCTACTTTGGTGTGGCGCTTGGTTCAGTGAGTTTGTTTGGGTTGTGTTTGACTGCATGATGGGTGGGCATGTGTGTGTGTCTCTATTTGTGTGTGTTGAGCTGACTGATTGAACTGGTCAACAGGTTTTGCAGATGTTCCCAGTGCGGGTTTTGGATGCCAGTCTCTAAGCTTTAAGGCTGTTATGAATGCTAAACGTGCCGTGGAAGCTCTCAATAAGTCATCGTATTATGATATCAGTCGAAGATAATAAAGCGAGGGTAATATTAAAAGTGTGCAGATGTGTCTATTCCAGTTGCCTCTCTGCAACTTTAAGAAGCAGACTGGAGATGTATCACCAGCGTCACATTAGGTTCCTGTCTCTGTAAATCACCTAACTTGCTATGTCAGCATGTGCCTAATAATAGCTCCCTCTGTCCTGTTATGTCTTTTTGAAGGGTGTAGATTTGGCATGCAGTAACTTAGATACGTAAAAAGGATGGAATATTAAATCCGGGGCAACAGGCCATTGTTGTAGGTCCTCATTCACCCTGACACTGTTGTCCTTGCATGACTGGATGGAGTATTTCCAGATACAATTGTTGTGTCCATAGAAAAGCTAGGTGACTTGCTCAGCACCCTTTTTCTGATTGGTTATTTAGCTGTTGTTAGGGCGACTTTATCAACTGTGACTCATCGGTCGTATGTGGAAGGAGAAGAGAACTTTTTGTGAGACTGTTTTGCTTTTGTTGCTGAAGCTAGGATGAGAGGGTTGTCTACGGTGCTGCTCATTTCTACGTGGAAACTTTCACATCCACTGTGGATTGAAAAGGCGACTAGACTGGTTCTTTGTTGCGTCTTCCAGAGAGATTTTTCTCTGCAGGTTTTCGATGTTCATCCGATAAAATCCAAGGAAAACAAGAAGTAGAGGAATCTGGAGTTTCTGCACACCATCACCAAGCAGAGATCAGATTCTCCCTCATACTGTAAACAGCTTTCTGTAGTCCTCATTTTCTCCTCAAAATTTACACTACATGGACTTTTTCATGGGATTATCCACTGTAGTTGCTTTGCTTGGAATAGTGTTTCTAAAATTTGGGGTGGCCCAGAAAGTGTTACTTCATATTATTACTTTATATTATTATTTCAAACCATAGCAAATTATTTCCAATGGATTGTAGTATACATTATTTTGACTTAAATTACAAGCACCATTATAATTGCCATATGAATTCAATAGCTATTCATAATAGCTATGAATAGTTATGAATAACTAAGTGATGGCCACAGTTCCTTTAGTGTCCAACTCAGCAGCCAATTGGTCCAACCAACTGTTTAACCAATCGTGGTGTCGCCTGTCTTGCAGGATCTGCACAGCAGTACATGGGACAAGACGAGTTCTACGGAGAGCAGTATGGACACACTCAGAGCTCCAGCGAGCCCATAAACCAGAAGTATTACCCTGATGGTAATCATGCACATCCATAAACTTCATACACACAGCTCTCAAACACACAAACCCCCACTATAGGTCATTCCATTTCCTTTTAGCGCTATCCCACAGGCCCTGAGCCAGATTTACTGCTGAAGCTTCAGCTCCTTCTCCCAACCATCATCTTTTTCTCCTATTGTGGGAGATGAAAAATACTAAAAGGAAAAAATTCGCAAAAGCCTGACATTAGTCTCAATTCTGTCTCCTGCCAGTGTGTCTGTGTCCATACTGTCCCCTTTGGTGTGCCGAAATTTCAGATTTCAGAGAGTGATCTAGCAATGGGTTGAGGAGAGAGCTTCCTCTGGGGTGTTTCTTTGTGCTTTGCGCATAATGATGAAAGGAGAAGCCTTGAAAAATGCAGTTTTGTGCTTGTAATTTTGTTGCTGCCCATGTATTATGAATGTTTTGTGCGAATAATAATTTCTCTTCTGTATGTCGGGGTTTTTTTTGCCTTAGCAGCGAAGTTGTTGCATGTGTTGAATCGTGTTCTCTCCAGGTCATGGGGAGTATTCCTATCAGCAGTCTTCATATGGTGAGCAAGGCTACGACAGATCGTTTGATGAGTCCTCGCAGCATTACTATGAAGGAGGTAACAATTGTTTGTTTTTTATTTTTATGATTTTTAATTTTTTTCCCTGCAACTTAGCACCAGAGTTTGCCCAAATGCTTCCAAACAAAACTATAGTAAGTTGTTCACACACACAATTAACAGCTGACAAGTGCGCTTGGCATGTATACCTACAGGTAACTCTCAGTACAGTCAGCAGCAGGCCCAGTATCAGCAGAGCTCTGGCCAGCAGCAGCCTTTCAGCCAACAGCAGTACTCCTCTCAACAAGGCTACAGCGGGCAGCCACAGGGATACGGTTCGAACAGCTTTTACAACCTATTGTGTGCATTCAAGCTAACGTAAACGCACAAACAAAACACAAGTACACATGAACTTAATGTGCCTCCTGTGCTGCAGGTCCTGGCCAGGGGGGATCATCTCAGTATTCTCAGTATCAGCAGGGTCAAAACCAACAGTATGGATCCTACCGCTCTTCCCAGGGAGGCCCTGGAGCTCAGGCGCAGAGGACCTACACCTATGAACAGGTACATGACCAATTCCCGGTGCATTTTAATAACTATATGCATTTATTCTGGAATTAAAGCTCATGGATAGACCGTTATCGATTTAATTTACACAACTATTCACAACAGGTGCTTCAAGTTAAAAAGTCTGCTTATGCGAGTCATACTGACACACATTTGTGTACGCGCTAAGAAGTTTGACAGATGAAACACAGCAGCCTATCTAGACTTCCTTTGGCCCTAAAGAACCAAAACTGTATTTGATCATGAGCCAAAACATTGTTTCCTGTTTCCTTATTGAATTGAGCTTAAAACATCCTGAAATTTGATTCATGTAGAAATAATGCAATAAACAAGGAAACTTAAAACGCTGGTGTGGTCTGTGTCTGTCTCAGTTCTAACAGAAAAGAAAAGAAGAAGTGAACAACACATAATATTTTACTGAATGTATCAATGCAGTCTCTCAGTTTGAATTTTTCTTTTTTCTTTTTTACATTTTAGGGTCAGTACGGAAATTATCAGCAGTAACGCTGTTTTGCTGTTGGAAGAAAAAGTGAGATGGGAAGGTTCAACAGTTCCGTGCTGGGCTCAGCTATGGATTAGAAGATCTGGCTGCATCAGATTTATTATCCTTTCATTAATCATCATTCTCGCTAAAAATACATAATCTAGTCAAATGTGATGCTTCCCCCCCGCCCCCCTCTGTTTTACTCACTACAGGGTTGTAGCTGATGGCTGAAGGTGTGAAAAGCTACTGGTCATCTATGAAAAAGTCAGGGTGCTTGTAGAATCGAGACATTTAAAGTTAATATTCTACATTGATTAAATAGGCTACTAGAAGGGAGCAGAAGAGCCATTATGCCTCAGCAGCCTGCAAATGTCTTTTGGCCTTTCCTTTTACTTCTATTTATCCCATCGCCTTATTTATTGTTTATTTTATTTGACAAGGCTCTTTTATTTTCTTATAATGTGACACTGTGTTTTATTCTTGTTTTGGTGCACAGAGCAGGACCTTTGCTTGTGAGATTTTGTGGTTATAAAAAGCAAATTATCCTTTAAGAAAACGTACCTTGACATTTGTTTAATAGACTAGGTCCAGCTCTTGCTTTAATTCCTAGTAGAAACACTGTTATATCTCATGATAAGGGATATACATTTTACGACAGTGAAAATGTTGGTCCTTAAACCTGCCTTGATCAGGTGGTCTGTCTGTGTTAGTCAAACTGTGATGTGTTGATGTGTGGTTGAACATTATGTGTTTTCACTCTCTACATATGTCTTACAAAGGTAATGGACATACTAGATAGCTGACTGATCAAGATTTAAAAAAAAAAAAAAAGTGTGTTTCATCGTCTATGATAATCCTAAATCGTGGTAGTATTTTTGACACTATATTTTCAGTGGCATTGCTCTGCACATGCATAATGTCGCAGAGTTACTAAGTGTTACACTTTGATGCCATTCAGTAATGATTTTTACATGAAAAATGCATTGCCACTTTGTTGTTGCACTTTATTTTGCAGTGACAGTGTATGTATTGTCTGAGATTTTGTATTGTAGTGCCATTCAGGCTGTTTTCGACAAATGATACTCAAAAAGCCAAAGTACCGCAGGAGCAGAACAGTAACATGTCCTGCACCTCCAATTCAATAAGTGCAATACACTCAGTCAGTCATGTTGAGGTTGGGTCTCATGGTGAACTCACACTTTGTCATTGTTTGCCGTTTCTTGACATGCAGCGACGGTAAAGACAAGGGCCGGTTTGTCTCAAGTTGTTAAATGTTATGTTGCAGGTTTCAACTGACATGCGACATTTACAAAAAATATATTTCTGTATTTATGTGACCTATGGATAGATTACGTGAAGTCTTTCGTCACGACATAAAGCTTGCCTCTTTTTGTGTGAAAACTGTTATTATCCTATTTGGTATTAGATGAATGAAATAATGTTAAAAATAAGAAGTGTAGCAGGGGTATGGATTTTAGTTTACATGTCATACAAGTTCTTATTTTACATATTTATTTCAATTATCTATCTATCTATCTATCTATCTATCTATCTACCTATCTATCTATCTATCTATCTATCTATCTATCTATCTATCTATTAATTTATTGATTTACTTATTTAAAAGAAGTGCGACAACACCTCTAGTCATTTCACAAGTTTCCTACAGTTCGATCAGTAATAAGGATTATTAGTTGGTTGGTTGGTTGTGAGGGTCCAGCTCTGCAGTATCCTGTTGTAACTCAATTTACCTCGGAGGGGTGGAAGAACATAACAGTTGCAGTCATTTTGCAGGGGTAATCAAGAATGGGAGATTCTTGGCTGTCAAACAGCTAATTTACTATATACCACTCAACACCGACAATCACAGGCTTCTCTATATACTACAATGAATTGTTATAAGTGTCTCATTTTACTGTGAACTGAACATGTATGGCAAGTCTTCTCCAGTTCTATGTAGAGTGTCATCACCCGAGGGTGGTACGCCTTGTTTGTGTGTGTGTGTGTGTGTGTGTATGTACATGTGTGTGAGTGTGCGTTTTTGCACATATGTTAGAGAAGGAGAGAGTCAAGTTTGATGTGCATAATCAAAATATGAATGTTATCTACTTATCTATTGTAAGACTGCATTGCCTGATCTTTTCTGCTGTCTTTTGTTACTATTTGTTATATATAAAAAAATAAACTGACATCCACCTTTCGTGTGGCTGCGTTTCGTGTGTTTGTCAAGAAACTGTCAGAAGTGCATATTAAAAATATTCACCGTCCTTGGAAGTTTTCCCCTTTAATTTCTTTTCAGCGTTGAATCTTTTGCAATATGATTTGGCTTTTTGGGCAAGAATTTAAGAAAATACATATATTTTAAGTCAAAGTAAAAACAGATTTCTACACAGTAATGTCAACCAATTAAAAATGTAGAACATAATATAAGTGATAGCATAAGTGTTTACCAATTTCAATTTAGACTTTAGTAGAATACACTTTTGGCCGCAATTACGAATACAGTCGCAATCAATCTTGCACACCTTTTCAAGTCCAGCCACAAAATCTCAGTTAGTTTTACGTCTGACTCTGCATTCATTTTACTCTCTACCTTTACAAGCCTTCCAGGTCCTCGTGCTAAGAAACATCCCCAAATAATGATGTTGCCACCACCATGCTTTATGGTGGGGATGGCATGTTTGTGATGATGTTGGAGCAATGATTCACCAGTGACTGAACCTGACTGATACAGGTGTCTATACTACAATCACTTCAGACACATTCAGTGCACTAAGATCATTTCTGTTCCAAAAATGTTATAAATTCTAGCAGCAGTTGGCTACATCTCTGTTGAATTAGGTGAGTCACTTTAAAAGGGGTAAATGCTTATGCAATCACTTATTTTACATTATCTATAGGAAATTGACATTACTTTGTAGAAATTTGTTTTCAATGTGACACTACAGTCTTTTTTGTGAACTGCCAAATTACATTAACCATAATTCCACATTGAAAAGCTATAAAAGGGCAAAACTTCCAGGAGGCGTGGATACTTTTTTTTACACACTGTAATATTCTCATACTCAAAAGTCCATCCATTCATCCATCCATCATCCAACGACATAGATCACTATGGAGCCCCGGAAGGGCTCCATGTTGAAAAAAAAAAAAAAAAAAAAAGTCACATCAGTATCCATGAAGCATTCCCGANTGTGGGAGGATGCTGGAGAACCCGGAGAGAACCCACACTGCACGGGGAGAACATGCAAACTCCACGCAGAAAGATTCCGGTGCCCCCACCAGGACGCGAGCTGGCAACCTTCTAGCTGCGAGGCAACAGGAACTGTCAGAAGTGCATATAAAAAATATTCACCGTCCTTGGAAGTTTTCCCCTTTAATTTCTTTTCAGCGTTTTGCAATATGATTTGGCTTTTTGGACAAGAATTTACGAAAATACATATGTTTTAAGTCAAAGTAAAAACAGATTTCTACAAAGTAATGTCAACCAATTAAAAATGTAAAACATAATATAAGTGATTGCATAAGTATTTACCAACTTCAATATAGACTTTAGTAGATACACTTTTGGCTGCAATTACGAGTACAGTCTCAATCAATCTTGCACACCTTTTAAAGTCCAGCCACAAATTCTGAGTTAGTTTGAAGTCTGACTCTGCATTAATTTTACTCTCTACCTTTACAAGCCCCAAATAATGATGTTGCCACCACCATGCTTTATGGTGGGGATGGCATGTTTGTGATGATGTAGTGTTTGGTGTTGGAGTAATGATTCACCAGTGACTGAACCTGACTGATACAGGTGTTTATACTACAATCACCTGAGACACATTCAGTGCACTAAGATCATTTCTGTTCCACAAATGTCATAAATTCTAGCAGCAGTTGGCTACATCTGTGTTGAATTAGGTGAGTCACTTTAAAAGGGGTAAATGCTTATGCAATCACTTATTTTACATTCATTATCTGTAAGAAATTGACATTACTTTGTAGAACTTTGTTTTCAATGTAACATTACATTACTTTTTTGTGAATTACCAAATTACATTAACCATAATTCCACGTTGAAAAGCAATAAAAGGGCAAAACTTCCAAGAGGCGTGGATACTTTTTTTTACACACTGTAATATTCTCATACTCAAAAGTCCATCCATTCATCCAACAAAATAGATCACTATGGAGCCCCGGAAGGGACATGTTGAAAGGAAAAAAAAAAAGTCACATCAGTGTCCATGAAGCATTCCCGAGGGCTATTGTTCACTACGTATAAAGTCTATCAGGATGGCCAGGTCAGAGTATGATTTGCAAGTAGTGTGTCCCCTTGAGCTAAGTATCCTTTTCAGATCCCTCTGGCTTATGTGAAAACTGTGCCTCTTGCTAAGCACTGCTTGATTGTCTTTAAATTTTAGGCCGATTTTTAAAAATAAAACTCAATAAAACTCTCATACGGGTGAGTGTCCTCCATTGTCTTTTCTCCATACTGCCAAAAAGACCCAGAAGTATATATACATACAGTTTTGCGAGAAACTTTTGCAAGATCCTGAGAAAGTCTTGTGAGATCTTGCAAAAGATATCTCTATTTTTTTGTTTTCCTCTCCCTGTTTTTTTTCTTTCTCCATGTCCCTCCCGGGGTTCCGTAGATCACAAACCAACATGAAGCTACTTTTAAATTACTACAGAGAACTCCACTAACAAGAAGTCTGTCAATTAATTGAAATATTAGCTGGTAACCCAAGTATCTTTTCTTTTCTTTCAATGTGTGTCTGCACATGAACACACATTCCAGCCCAGAAGGTGGCAGTAGAGGACCACATGGCGGCAGCGAAGAGAACGTCCCCAATGTCCCTTTACAGCTTCCGTAGGTGCAATTCTTGTAGTCTGTAAACATGTGGTGGGTAGTTGCCGTGTTATTGAACATGTAAAAAACAATTTACAAGGACTCTTTAATTTATAATTTTACCATTTATCTGTCTGTCTAGTAGGTCGCGGTGGCACCATGGTGACGCTGACAAACAGCCGTTAGCTAGTTTTAGATAATAGCTTCCAGCGACCTGATGAAGGGCATAATGTTGGCGGCGGTTTCGAGGTTTAAAACTCCTCGTTGGTTCTCCTCGGACCTGTTTTTACGATGCTTTTTAGGACATGCGGCCATGAGGGTCGAGTTGAGGTTTTTAGCTGTCAGTCGCTCTCCGGGGTCAGCGCTGTGGAGCAGAACGGCAGCTGGTGTCAGAAATGTGAGCACCTCCACGACTCTGTACGACAACAGCCGAAGAAAGCCGAAGAAGAGAGAGATGTCTGAAAAGAAGCTGGTACGTGTTAGAGCCAACTTTATTATCATTTTTTTAAACCTAGTTTTCTGTTTAGTACAAAGACTATAACCAGAGAATAATGGATTCTAAAACACAAGTAAAACTTAGGTGCATTTTGTGATTTAGTTTTGAAGTGAGTGCAGCCCTGTGCAATATCACTGAAATACCTTATATTTAATATCAATATTGTGTCACACAGTTTGTGCACTGTTTCTTAAGTTGACAGTAGGATCTTTCTTTTCTTCTGCAGATTTACTATATTAACAATAAGATAGAACTTAGAGCTCGTGCCACATATTGCTCAAATTACATAGCATGGGAATACATGCAGAGCATAATAGAAAAGCAGTATAACAATGATGCATTACTGATTAATTAATTTATGTATTTATTTTACAGATGCTAGAATAAGATTAGAATAGAAAAGTAAGTAATATTAGCAATGAGTCAGAGGTAGTGAAGTAATATGCATGATCATGAAATATTGCAAGTAATATTTAGATATTACACTTGATTATTAAGCTGATATTGCACAAACTTTTTGAGGAAAATAAAAGTGCAAATCACACTGTATTATTGTTCAGATTTGAGATTTAAATACAGGCCTGACAGTAATAGCTCAGTGCAACAAAAGTGAGTATTTAGCTTTCTTTTTCTACCTGTGCTTTTGATGGTAGACTTAATCCTCTTTGGCATGCAGGATGTCAAGTTTTTGGATTTCTGTCATTCTTCAGAGGCTTTTTTTTTTTTAAGCTATCCTTGTGTTCTAGCTTTCTCTTTAAAACACCTCAAAAGTGTTCGGTTGGATTCAGGTCAGCCC